GGACTCATAAAATAACGAATGACACCAACTGGAGTAAAAAGCGTTAAAAGTTACATACACAGCAACCATACGTAGCTTGTTTGAGTTTATCACACTCCACTTGAGTGCAAAAAACGCCGGGTAGAGAATTCTCGCAATAGGAAGTAGGATGTTCTCAATATGAGTCTGCAATAAGAGGTGTTTTATTTCTTCAATATGTCTGCTCTAGGGGGTACTAAATTTACATTGCCTATTATGTTTTAGCAAGAATGCACATGGTGTAAAGTTTTAATATATATTAATGACCTCCGGGATGTAGAGTCCGGTCAAACTCTGGTGGCAGCCATGTTTGTTTTTTATTATTAGAGGACGCTTACGCGCGTAATCATTCCATATTTGGCATTCGCATTTCCTAATATGGCAGGATGAAAATACCCCGTAAAATACCGCACAATTACGGTACGCTGTAACTTATGACGTTACGGTGACAGATGTATAATAAGAACATATACTCTTAAACAGCATATGATATAAAAACTTCGTCAATTTGTAACCCGGGCTTTATTACCAAACGCTTCAGCGTGGTATTAAGAGTTTGTTTTCAGGGGTAGGTGATACCAAGAAGGAAAATGGTTGCATATATGGGGGTAATTCCTCAAATTGCAATAGAGAGGGTTTAGGCCGAAATACAATATATAGTATTTTCCAATCTGATTAAAATCTGATGTAATGTACGGGCTTTTATTATTTTTGCTATAATCCTATTTTAAAATATTGTTTTATTACTTTTATTATTGATGCCTTTTTATTTTATTATTTTACATTGATTTTGTGATTTTTTTTTTAATTCCGCCCTACATACATCTGATCCGACGCCTATGTTCAAATCTCGCGTAAGTAACAGCCAATCCGAGCCCTCCTTTTATACAGGCTGTCGGTTGCTTACTTTTCAGTGTAGCGATACTCTACGGGAAATCTTTCTGTACATTATATTTTGCCCACTTGAATAAACCATTAATAGAAAATTGCTAGTATATTTTTATTTACAAAAGAAATTCCACAGCATTTTACAATTTTTGTCATTACATTGAATATTTTTTTCACTTCCAACAAATGTGTACACTTCCTGATACATCTTCGCCAGCCAAGGTTCTTTTATTCAGTCATCGCTTCAATTTTACATCAAACACTGAGCATAATTATCTAGAATGGAAGCAAACAAATAAGTAAATTGTAATGATTAGAACACTGTAAACAGCTATAGTAAACAATGCAAACGAATTTTAAATTGCATAACGGTCACCGGCCCACGGCATCGACGCAGAAAATTGGAGCAAAAAAAAATTTTTCCCGATCAATTGCGATGTGTTCCAAATAAAAAATATGTTATTCCAGTCCAAATCAGCTCAATTACTTTAATAAAGAGTTATTGTATAATGTACAAAATATTGATACATTTTGATGAATATTTACAGCTACGGCACAAAAACTGCTTCAATACCGTAGACGATTTTAGCCCGATCGTCAACAAAACATCACCCGTCTCCAGGGCAAGCGACTGGAAAAAGATACCGGTGATCGGTATAATCCGCCATTTTATTTGAGTGTGTTTGCCACCTGACTCTGCCCGGTGACGTCATCATGTGCGCTATAGAAGGAGGTCTGTGATTCGTTGACTAAAATTGTCGATAGTGGGTCTCGTTGAAATCTCGTTACATATACATATATAATAACATCGGGTCAGATGTATGTAGGGCACAACATCAAAATCAAGGTAAAATAATAAAATAAAAAGGCATTAATAACAAAAGCAATAAAATAAATTTAAATGAATCAGATTGTAATCAGATTGAGTATTTTCATGTTTCGTCTGATATTTCTGTGGTATTCTGCTGCTGTAACTAATGCGAGATTTGTTCCGAAATTCAGTTTATTGTGTGCACTTCAGGGTTAATTGTTTTTTTGCTGAAACCATCCCTATTTTTTAATGGCAGTGTCGAACTAGTTTCACTCGCACTGGTAAATCTGCATTGCTGCTTGAATGAAAGCTAATTAAACACATTTTCCAGACCGGCGAAAAAGTCTGTAACAGCCAATTTTAACAGCCTATCACGTGACTTTACTCTGAATGTCAACATGGAAATAGGTTATTTCATTTTACGCAGGAATAATTGGGAGTACAACATGTGAGGGACTGTATCAACAAAGATGTGTATACTGAAAAGTAATATCTATCATTCTTTTGCATCGCTGAGCATTTCTATTTTAGTATGCTGGTTTGAAAATGTTGCATAATTTGCAATGTTTTTTTTGTTTTATTTTACTGAAACGCCCCTAATGGTTGAGTCCCGGGTTTGAAGGAGACTGTAACAGTGCACCACGTTTGAATACTAGTACAATGGTGAAGGATTGTCGCGATAGGGCGAAATTTTCGAAGTCCGTCATACGTAGTTTAAATTTAGAATTGTGCAATGCCGTGCAACTGCGGTACTCCACTGACGGGATGACTTTCATCGACTGCAGTCGTCGCTGAGCTGCATGCTACAACTTCGCTTGTGGGTGTGGATTGAATAAATCTTGATTGCTGGTTGAAATGTTACTCATTTGGCAGTGGTAATCTTTATTTGGAACTGGGTAACGCCGCAACGTCACCAGCAGAAACCTCTTGGTACTTCATTGTTGATGATTGCTGCTCCACGGCAATTTTATTACCGGTGGATCTTCCGAGAGCCCTTCAAGGTTATAAAACTCAACATACATCAAGTTCTCTCAATCGTAGTGATACGATGAATCGATGTGATGTACACCTAATATACCAAAAATGTTGCTGAACGATTTGAACCGGATATAAACACGCGAAAATTTGTTTACAAAATAAAAATAGTTCGGTTGCCAATGGAAACAAGCCGGTAGGCTGGTTGGCGATCCGCTCTGCTAAAAATACAAGCAACATGTTTTCGGCTGTTGCTATGGTAGGACATGAACGTGAACTTGAAGCCAACGTCGGTTTATAACTAACACCGGACACTGTATACGAAGTTCGCAAAACTAACCAACCGTTTTGCGATAGTATTTCCTAGATTGAAGGCAGCATTTACAGTTCATTCAAAGTTCAAAGTTGTGTTCTGATTACATTGATACAGTGTAACAATGTCGGCGCCGGTGATCTATTACCAGTACGCAACGTAGCCAAAATAAAAAGCATGATCATTTAAACACTGCTATTAAAAGACTGGCAGGAGGTAATAAATTTGGGGCGAAAGAATTAAAAAAAAAGAAGTTTTTGGCTGTTGCCATGGTAGTGGTAGGCCAGGACTGTTTTTCCAATTAGTGATGGTAAGGACTGGTCTGCCTGTCAAATACGAACAAAATCAGCCAAAGCAAAGGAGTTAAAAACCGTTACTGGTGAAAAGTTAACCCAACTTTAGGGTAAATTTTTTCAATAATGAAAATAGACACAAACAAACAGTAAATATTTGTCCACACTCAAGCTGAGTAGAATGAGCTTCGTCCATGCTTTTTAACCGTAGAAATGTAGGGTGTAATACATTTGGCGCGAAGGTATTCAAAAATCATTTTTCCTGTTGCCATGGAAACGGTGGGTCAGAATTTGTTTTCAGATTTTACAACCTAACTAGAGTGAAGGTGTGACTTGCCTGCCAAGTTTGAACCGAAAGGCCCAGCCAAAAAAATCACAGAAGAGCTAAGAAGCCATTCCTGGTGAACAGTCACCCCAACTTTGGAGTCACATTTCTCGGTAATGAAAAAAGATATCAAAAATTTAAATAGAAACTTTGTGCCCACACTCAAGCTGAGTAGAATGAGCTATGTGTAACCACGATTTCTGTTGAGTTGCGCCAATGGGTATTAGACCCATGGGGTTAATTTGTTGTCATCAAAGGAGGATATTAGTGTAGGTAGGCCACACATGATTGGGTTAAAATCACCCAGAGTAGTTCATTTTGTATTGTGAACGAGCCCGAGCCCCTTATTTTTATTATTTAGTCAGCATTGAGTTGTATTAACCAGCGCGTTTTTGTTGTGAAAGTTTTTCTGGTGTCAAGGATAATTTGCATAATTTATGTTGGTGACCTAGTTTTTGAGTTATTATATTTGTCTTGTATGTATATTCCTAGGAGTAAACAGTATTTCTTTTGTTCGTTATCATGCTATTTTGATAGGGAATTTTCTTGTGTTTTAAAATTTATGAGTGCGTTCTACTTTGACGCAGTATGGGCTGAACTTTTGTTGACAAGTTGGTCTTGGAAAGTTGCTATGTGAGTGACGTCATGATTTCAACACACGTAGGGCATGACCAGATTTTCTTTTTTAGAGGGTTTCGCTGCGCACCGCTAATGACTTTGTATTGTGTCAGCGCGTTTTTTTTTTTTTTTTTTTTTTTTTTTTTTGACCCATAGGTTGTATTATTTTATAGAGTTATTATAATTTTAGATGATATAAATTTCGTAGTTAGGGTTTAAATATTTAGAGTTGCAGGGAGTTTAGATTGGTCCCCCGGCCTTCTTGCAATTGGTACGAGCCTACCTAGGAGCGAGACGGAGGCAAGCGGTTGTTATGGCGGATGTTGTGAGTTGACGTGCGACAAGAAGTCTCCGGAACATTTTGAATATTTCTACATTTTTGCTCGGAAAGTTAATAATCAAGCTGCAGAGAAACTCAGCGTGGATGTGACAGAAA